CTATACATTACTCAATTTCTTAATTTACAAGTAAATTTAAAAAACACATATAAACATCAATTTTTGTGCGTCATGTGGTATGTCGAATGCAGCACTGGTTCAAATTAGATGTTTGTGATGTCAGAATACTATGTCTGTAGTTTTGTATGAATTAGGAACTCAAATTACCGATATTGACAAGCTGAAATATAAAATAAGAAACTTATATTTTTTCTATTTGCCGATATATCACTCATATAATGAATCAAACATAGTGACCCTGCTCACCTATTTGCATTTTTGGAAATGCTCCTTTATATGTATACTTAATTCAGTATATGGCATGTAAATAACCAGTCAATAACTCAGAATGTCCCCCTAGTGGCTTTCTCAGCCATTTTCATGTGATAGGACACCATCTTTTTTCTTTCGAGCCAAAATTTCAATGAGGTAGGTTGTGTCTTTATTTAGTCTGCTTGAAATTTCATATTTTTTTAGACCCAATTACAACTTAGTTACTAAGGTTGATAAATTATTGTGGAATTCTATGGTATCGATATAGTAATTTATGATTTTTTTGGTTACTCAACTATATATATATATTATACCTAAAAATAACAATTTGTTTCGTATCCTCCATGTGCAAAATTTTAAAAACTTAGCAACCTACGTCAAGCAGCAACCGAGTACAAAGGTTGAAACTAGAAGAGATAATTGTTTGTTTTCCTTCTTTATTTACTGTTCTATGTTTTAAGAAAAATAAGTTTAAGAACTTATTTCTAAATAGTAATAATCTATATACATACATAATGTATAATAATTGAAATGTTACTGTATTTTACAAAATACTAGTCTACTAAAATACAACCAATACAGGTCACTTTGTAAAGACTAAAGGTCAGTCTTATATTATTGGAAACAGTAACATGAGAGCACATGTGCTGTATCATTGTGCTGTATTGTTAGCCAGGCATGGCTGAAAGGTTAATGTAATAATAATAATTATAAATATATATAAATGTATAATGTTATGAGATTTAAGCTATTTAGTCTAAACATTTATGTTTTTGTGTTATAATTTGTTTTCATTCTAGAACGAAAGAGGCGTAACTTATATTTATATCCTAATTTTTTATGGTGGTTACAAGATTGGTCAAATCTACAAAACCCATAAAGAGATTCAGTTATTGAAGATAACAGAATTTGAACTTTTTTCTTAGACATTTTATAACTATATGGACATTATAAAGATTTCATATGTGAAATTTGAAAATTTTCTGATACATAAATGTATTTTTAATCTTAAAATGAAAATTACTTTGCATGTTGGATTGGCAATGTGCGAAAAGAAAAAAAAGCATGAGAAAAACATTGCTATACAAACTTTAAAACTTAATAAAAAAATTTATATCTTGTGTATGAAAGCATTGTAATGTTTACTGATAATCTGCCAAATTTTGTTAACATACGATTACCAACTTAAAAGTTATAGCAAGAAAATTATAACAAGCACAAAATGGTTATGAGGTCAATCCGAGGGACTTAGCCCACGCTGAAAGAGTTAAGTTTACCAATAATGACACCCACTTTGATAACTGGTGTATGCTGTGATTCATAATGTAGAATAAGGGGTTTAACATGTGGTTTGGAAGATACAGTTATAATATGTTTGCTGTTTTCGATTTCTCTCAGATTTGTTCTCAACAACAGTTACTTTAAATTCAAATCATCTCTATATAAACACACCAAAATTATTGCTATGGGCAGTAGTATTGCTGTTATTTTCACCTCTATTTTTATGCATTTCTTTGAAGCATAAGCTCTCATTCAGTGGAATTTTGAAACTAATCTTGAACTAACTAGGTGGTAGAGATATTGACATTTTTGGTACTTGGAATCATGGACTCCTTTCTCTTTTGAAGTTATTTAAATTACTTAATAATCAGCACTCTGGCATAAAGCTCACACTCACTCATATTGATAATGTCTGGAAGTCTATACACTTTCTTGATACCATGGTTACTATTGGTTACTGTAATTTAAAATCAGTTTTGTAACATTCAAAGACCAAAAAAAAACTTAATTTTATGTCATCTTCCTTGAAAATGGTTTCCATCCTTCAGTCAACACTGCAAACTTTAAATAATAATAACATTTTATTATTTTTAACAAAGACGATGTAGATGGTAGTTTGAGGTAATTTTGATACCGCTAATATCAGTCAAATATAAAGGTGCAATAAAAGTTATTGTGGTAGAATTTGACACCGTAAACATTGATACACACAAAGATTTACTGGTAAAATGAAGTATATGTAGTTGTTTTTTATTTGGTTACACATCTGATAAAGCAAAAGATAGATGAAACGTTAATTATTAACAGTTGTATTCACTATGGTGATATAAGAGAGAAGTGAAACAATTGTTGATATGATACTGTAAAAAATGACTTGTAACAAGGTACAGATATTCTATGTCAGAATCATGCTATTTTGTATTGAAAACTTAATTATTACATTAAGGTAGGATATATCTCAAATAATTTTGTTAAAGTAAAATAAAACAATGTTAAATTTTTATTTTATGTTACCTGTAAGTTTCATTATTCATCCAGGTGACCCGTATGATGTATGTGCTATTTGCCTAGAAGATTATACAGAAGGAGAGAAATTAAGAATGTTGCCATGCTCCCATGGTAAGTTGAGTAATTGTACACATTGCAAAACACAATGTTCACAGAAGGAAAGCAGTGTTAGTACTTGTTAAATGGTTATTTTGTGTAGAAACCTTGAATTTCCTATTTGATTAGCTTCTCTTAAAATTGTAGATATTGGCTTGCTTGCTCAGTAATTTCTAGCCATCAAAACTGAATAAAGATGTAATAGGCTTGGGTGATATCATTGTATATTTTGAGAGACATCTTTCAATTGCATTACTTTTTTATGAAATGCCTTTAGAAAATCATGTTAAAAAATTCAGACAATTACTAGTCTTATGTAAAACCTAAAAAATTCATAACATTGGACCTTCCAACCAAGACAGTACTTATTAATATATGTTTCATTAAAAATGTTTTGTATTTGACCCAGACAATAGTTTTTTTAACTACTTAATGGAACAATTTGTCTATAATAAGACAGTAGCTATAGGTTTAGTTGTTTATTAACCCTTTCACGAGTGGTCATGGGTGAAAGACCATGTCATCTTGTTTGTTGACTTGCATTCAAAATTTT